AAGACGACGCGGCTGCAGCACCTGACGCTGGCCGAGGACACGCGGGGGATGCTCACGGAGCTGCGGAAGAGGGTTCGCCTGCTGCTCCTCACGAACGGCGACAGGCAGACGCAGAGGGAGAAGATCGAGGCGTGCGCCTGCCAGCCCTACTTCGATGCTATCGTTGTAGGGGGAGAGCAGAAAGAAGAGAAACCGGCGCCATCCATATTTCATTACTGCTGCGATCTCCTGGGGGTGCAGCCCGCAGAGTGTGTGATGGTTGGTGACTCTCTAGATACAGATATTCAAGGAGGCCTGAATGCTGGCTTGAAAGCAACGGTCTGGTTAAACAAAGCAATGACCACCCCGGTAGATACCTCCCCAGTACCTCATTATATTATTTCTTCTGTTCTGGATCTTCCAGCAGTTTTACAGAAGATGGAGCACAACATTAATGCTAAGTTAGGAACTGACCATATGGCTAGTAGCAATGAAGCACATTGATGGTTCCAGCATACAGAGACCTGCTGAGCTGTTAGGTGACACATGCTCTTTTAAAAAATTTGACCCCGGGAGTTTGAACTCATGTATGGAATGCTCTTTTAAACAGCAGATGCATGAATAAGAGCACAGTTGTCAGTAAAAACAGGATAGAAACACAAAATTATATTAGTTTTAAAAGATGTAAGTGCAGTTAGTTTAAAACAACTGCCTCTGCCTGGAAATTATTTTGACAGACTGTGGTAAAAGTCTATCTGTCTCTCACCTAAGTTGCCAGTCTCTTGTTTTTATAATGGAAAAGGAAATGTGAATGTTTTGAGCTTTCACATGCTTTGCTGACTTGTGAGTTTAGTAGATGCTTCAGTACCGACCTTGTGTGCAGTGTGTAAGAGAAGGTGGGAAAGAGAGTGTGGTACAATCTGGTAAATTTTCACAATTGATCTGCAATTTATCTCAGGAACTGGAGTGAATTTTGCTGTTTCTCAGACCATTAGAAAATGCTCTACTTTTGATTTTTTTCAAGTTTTAGATTTTTTTTTCAGACTTTGCAGTGACTTTTCATTTATGGAATCAGTACCTCTTGCCATAAGTACTTAAATGTACATTAAAAATTGGCATTTTTATAGGGGACCTTTTATCAGAAGGAGTTGATGGATAAGCTTTTACTTTATATTATCTTGGTGCTTATGTAGCTATACAGTATACTTGTGATTCAGATTATGATTTTTGTTGGAATGTAATTGATAAAACAGGGATATTTTCAATGATCTTACTGTACTGTCATACTCTTCAAATGCTAATATTATTGTTCTGTCTGATTTTATTAATGAATTTTGATCAGACTTTTTGGAGAAACTGTTCTTGGTCTTGCTCAGGTGTATGACTACTCAGATTCAACTGTAGGATCAGTGCTTTTTTTGGACTGTTTTAATGGCACTGCTATATAATCCCTCCTTACTCCAGTTTCTACATGTAATTCGTGTGATTTATTCTGGAGAAAATACAAGCTAGTTGTTTATAAATGGCTTTCATGACTCTCTTCCAAGAAATTGGAAAATTATGTCATATATATTACAGTACTGTGTACAACTTTATAAGGTATGTGTGATATTTCCTCTAGATGCAGGAGATGACTCTCTAAAACAGTAACATTTCTCTTTCCCAGATCATTATATTAATTTGTTTTTTCTGTACTTCATATTCTTACTATATAACGGGAAAGTATTCTCATATTAAATGGAAATGTAAACACTTGTTGGAAAATCTGTGTTTTTCAGCCCTGTTTGCTATATATACATTGGGATAAATATCAGACTATATATGAACAATCAAATTTTATATTTTAAAATAAATCCATGTTAAATCTTTTGAGAACAGATATATTTAGATGCTGGCAGAAGAATGTCTGGCATATGGGCAGCAATAAAAGATCAGCAAAAAATACAGAAACCTACCATGAAATGGGTGTGCAGAAGAAATCCTATATGAGAGAGGTTCCTCCTTTTACCTTGACATGAATTTAAGTTAATGCAGTTAAGTCTTTCATAGAATGACAGAGTCATCAGGATGGGATGTTACATCACGAGGGTGTTACTGGTCTGGGTTAAATTATTTGACAAGGAGTTTAAGTTGCATCAACTTATATTGCTCCTACACTGGGGGGGAGGGGAAGAAAAGGAAATACTTATTAAAGCTGGAACCCCTTTCATCCAATTGTCCCTTAAAAAAGGTAGAGCAGTCCAGGTTCTTCACCCTATCTAGCCAAGACTGTTGAGACATCAGGATCAATGAAGAGCACAGAGACAGGCCCTGCTTACTCCTCTAAGGAAATGGGGGGCAGATGCTGAAAACGATCCCATTACAGTGGTACAATAACAAGACTCAGTGGGACTGACTTGACACACCTTTCTTACTGAAGGAAGAGGCCTAAGTTAAAATTTTATTTTGCATTTGAGGAGCATGAAAACAGCCACTGGTTTAGGTGATGAGCAAAGCATTGCCTATAAGATTTCTTTCAACTGAGGATTGACAGAAAAATTATTGTCATTGAGCCTGTGAGAGATACCATGTAAAAACAGAAATGTATCCAAAAGGTTACACGATCCCTGAAGTAATGTAACCATACTATCTGAAACAAAAGCAACAACGTTGCTTGTAACAGCATCCCAAAGGAGCTGCAGGGTAACTAACTTTGCCTTGTTTGCACAGCAGCAAGATAGTAGAACTTAGGCCAGAATGAGGTTTCTGATACAGCTGATATTTAGAACAGCAAACTGAAATAATTCACAAGTCTATCTGTGGGCTTGAAAGATATATATACACCAGGTTACCATTTTTTTATCTAAGCTGAGGCTTATATTGTCTTGCCACTGCATCATTCTGACGTGGCACACTGAGCCTGTTTATTGTATAAAGGGTCTCTTGTTTTAGAAGAGACTGCTCTTTGTTTTGCTGTGGCCAGCTGTTTTCTTACATTTCCGACTCTATGGAAAACCACTGTAACTGAATGCTCAGGTGACAGTGTGGTCTGTAGAGGCCACACCCAAGTATGTTTTTCCATTTCTGAGTACTGTACCAGGATGTGGCTGGTGTCCAAGTAGGTAAAGAGTGTTATGATGCTTCTATAAAACAAGAAGAAATTATAGAAGAGTTTTCTCTATCTAGGAGTCTTCTTAGAAGCAGTTACCCAATAAGCTGGACTAGGTATCTGGAGTATCTCTAAATGTTTTTCTTGGATGGAGCTCTTTCAGAGAGCACAATGAAAAATAATTGTATTTAATGAAATGAAAGCATAAATGTAGTGATGGGATAATTTTCACATCAGAAGCAGGAACAGATCAGTAAAACAGTTTATTAACAGTTCCAGTTAAGTTCTGGTTTTGCTTAGTATTATGCTCTATTAGCTAAGTTGTCTAGTTTAAATTATATAGCCAAAACATGCTTAATAAAAAGAGGGAAAATAAAGTCTGCTTATACTTAAAAAAAAAAAAATTCCAGATAAATATTACCTCCTGAGTAATCTACAGTAACTTTGACTTTAGTGAAATGAACTGAAACAATAGTTTAATACCAACTGTATTTTAATTCTTGATTTAAAATAACCCATGTACTAGTCTAATAAAAGTATTTTATTTATAAAACATATGTTTTAATGTTCTGTATTGCTGTGGAGAAATACTTTTGAGACCCAGTTTACAACAAAAGGCAAGAGTTTTGTTTCTTTTTAAAAATAGCACAGAATTAGGCTTTAAAATCCATGAATTCGCATTTAGATGTGGTGACTGGGTATAGTTTCCATAATTTTAAACAGAGGCTGGAATGTAATTATGTCTTTATGAAGATTCTTGGACTGATTGTGTGTGTTGAATTGCTAACTGCAGTTCTTTGCTAGTTGAACTTGACTTACCAAGCTGAATGCCAGCTCAGATAAGCCCGTGTGTCCTGATGTCGTGGCACTGGCTGCTGCAGCAGCATAAAGACAGGCTGCAGAGCAGAAAAGACAAATAGAGAAATCTCAAGTCCAGGGCACCTATTCCAGCAGGTTATGGGTGCACAAAGCCGTATCTGAGCTATTGCTACACTGACTTCTATGTGACTTAGGAGAGGGGAGAGTGGGAGGTTGCTCACCTTGCGGCTTTCTCAGCTGCAGAAAAGCAAGCTTTGCCCTGGCAATTTTCCATTGGGTAATGGAACAAATTGTCCATCTTCTGGACCTGTGGAGACAGAAGGGGAGAGGTAAGTAAGTACTTAAAAGTACTATAGATGAGGATAGGGCATTAAACTGAGTAAAGGGGGGCTCAGCCTCTATCATGGGCTCTTGGCCGCGCCAACCAGCTGTCTGAAGTATCACAGACTTGCACAGCACAGGATTTCTGCTCTTGTTGAGAAAGCTTTGTATATGTAAGGCATTAAGCTGGACAGCGAAAGCCTCAGAAATGAGGGTGTTTTCTTACGCCCTTGAAAACTTTAACAAAAAGTTAGGGATCATGGAAGGTGACCTGGATGTTTTATACAGGAAATAAGTACCTTTCATTAGAATACTAAGTTAATGCAAAGAGATAAGATGTTTGGATGGGGTAAAAGGTAAGGGGGTTTGTATTTCCTGAACTGCAGACAATGGACAACTTGCCACACCCCCTCTAACCTGAACCAGTTCTACTTGCCTTTTCCTCTGAAGGTTTTGTGACATGACAACACCAGTAATAGGGCTTTGAACTAAATTGAAGTAGTCTGATCCATCACAGCAATTTCTTCTGTTCAGATATGTAGTGACTAGTTTTTTGGCTTTGGCTCTAAAATGTGCCAGGTATCATGAGGCCTTTAAAGAAAATTTAAAATCCTCCCTTAATTCTATACTAACAAAACTCATCATCTGGAAATCATTTGAACACGTTGAGAAGCACAACGAATAGAAAGGCAATGTATCTCTGCTGTATGTAGCTGTATACAGTTCTTTTGTGCACAGCTTGTACTATCAGCCTTGCAGTGGGATTGTCTCCATTATGACCCGCTTTCTAGATCACGCTGTGCACATACAAGAGACACAACAATGTAGAGATGATGTCAGCTGTGCCTACAGCAAAAACTGCAGCTTTTTGCCTATGTTGCAAGGGACCTAGACACAGAGAATCACATCGCCTGCTCCATATAGCATATTTTGACCTTTTATTTCTTCTACTAAAAACAAGGTTGCGTGAGGGGCTTCTGTTGAACAGCACTCAAATGCCAGAAAAAAATGCACTTAAAAAATATGAAACTAAATTATGATGCTAATGTATGAAATTTCAGTACTTTAAAAGTGCAAACCATGTTTCTCAAGTCAACACTTCACCAAAGACTAGATAATAGCATCTCATAGGGTCTAATTTACCATAAGAAATTGTTGCCATTTACATCAGTGGACCTTCACAAGTTTAAGATTTGTATGCTCATTTCTGTAAGATCATCTGCAAGTGACTCCTGCCTTCCACTTCTCCCTCAGCTAATTGATCTCCGTCATCTATTTCATTGCTTGTGTTTCCATATCTTTCTGAATCACAATGGTATCTAGCATTTGGGATGAAATTTGCGGAGCACTGCAATGAAAACCGCTGGAAGACAGCCATCTTTTGTTGCGAGATCATGTTAAGTACATACATTTAGTACCAGCTTTGCAGCAGTCGTGTGCTGCGAGCATGTATTTGTTTTAAATGGTCTTTCCTCCAAAGAAACTTCCTTTCGTATCACAGAGACTAGGCAAATTTGTCATTAAAAAGAAAAAAAGTAAAAATGTTTGAATTAAAAAAAAAAAGAAAAAAGGAAAAACAAGCCTCCAAACAAAATCCTCTGTTAGTCACCTGTAGATATTAAGGTTTAAAAGGCAAGTTTCAAATACCAAATCTAAGATACTTCTCTCTAAGTTTCAAAATCAGTGTTGATGATCAGTTAACATAAGAAGTGACTGTTTTGAGGAGAACAAAACAGTATTCATCATTTTGCCAGTTTCCCAGTGTCTGTTCAGTCTGTGACTGACCATCATAATTTATATTCAAAAATATATTCAAATTATAATTATATTCAAAATTATATTAAAAAATAATACTGTCACACTGGGAAAATCCAACTTATTCATATTTTGGGAATAACATTACTAGACAATGTGGAAGAAACTACATGTGTTAGCTTCAACTACATTTTAATATACATTTTATTCAAAGTATTTAATCTGTGAATACACGTATTTGTTAAGTGCGTTTTGTATTTTGCACTGGAAATCAAAGAATGATTTAGCTTGGAAAAGACTTCTGAAATTGTAGAATCCAACCTATGACTGAACACCACCATGTCAACTAGACTATGGCACTGAGTGCCACAACCAGTCTTTCCTTAAACACCTCCAGGGATGGTAACTCCTCCACATGGAACAAAATACAGGCCAGTGAGTTACAGAGGTGTATCTGAGCATTTATGAATGTGGTAATCTAAGGTCTATGCTTTAGATCAAGAAATTAGGAAACTTTCATACTTTTCAGTGATTTTAGTAACTTAGAATTCTAGTAATTTAGAATAGTTATGGCTTTTTTTTCCAGGGAAACTAAGATGGAAACTGTGAAGATGAAGTGGAAAGTATTTCAACATATTATATTTTCCAGTCAAAATCCATCCTGGTGAGCATCAGATGAGCAAATTCTTATTCTGATGCCTTAGAATTTTTAGGACTTTTAGCTTTTTGTAGATTTTAATGTAGCTGTGCAGTAAACATGGATTTTTAGCATAGCTGTGTAGTTTCTCACACTTTAGAATAGCAGTTTATTGAACCTTTTCTCACACTATATATCAAATTTTCTAAATTCTTTAGACTTGTTTAGGGTTTTTTTCAAGGAAAGACTGTAGCAAACGCACTCTGTTTAAGAACACATATGCACCCTAGGCCGAAACAACAAGATATCACCAACGAGGTTGTAGCCAAGGCAACTTTGGAGGCCTGGAACCTTGGAGAAGCTCCAAGGATAACGCATGCTGGAATGACGAGGAGGAGGAAGATGAGGAAGAAAGAGGTCTTGAAACCTCCAACTCAATTCTGGGGAAGCATGCCAGGGGGACAATTCTGGGGAGGATCTGGGGGCGGATAGTTCTTGGATTGGATGGATAGTATTATAAAATTGTAGAACGGGTAGAATTATAAAATTGTAGAACACACACACGGGTGTGTGCCTTTGTACTCCTAGCACCAGAAGGCCTTCATCAAAGACCTGCTCTATATTTTATCTATACTAATATTGCCTGGTGATTTTTTCCTCCTGGATTTTAGGCATCAATTTGCTCGCGTTGTTGCTGAGTCTGCTTGATGGTAGTGCATTCAGGCAGATGTGGGAAGACCATTTTCCTGAGGCAGTAACCAGTGTAACAGAAAGGTCCAACTGGAATTGAAACCATTATGTGTCAAAGTATCTGTTTTATTAGTTCTTCCACTATATGAGTATTAAGAGTCTCAGTAGACTCTTCTCTTTTATTCTTTTCATGAATTAGGCCAATGAGTATCCTCAAAGTTACTGTCCTGTTTTCCTCTGCGCAGTAATGTGTTGCACATCTGTCTGTTTGATAGGCTTAACAGCTTTCATTTGTGCTGCTGGTGTGGTGGTCTTTGCTGTTAATGATGTGGCCTGTTAAATCTCACTGGGGTTAGGATTTATCAGGAAGTCTGCAGTGGATGGATTGACAGCCTTTGTTTTCCAAACTATTGATGCCTTCCATTGTGTTTTGTTTCAGACATTTAAATGAGAAGGGTCCTGAACATTCTAAGTCCTTTTTTCCTTTCAGGAAGAAAATGCATAAATGACACAAACAGCTTGTTTATTCTCCTTTCAGTAAATGTAACTGGTTAAAAATACTTTTCTGCTTCCATCCCTCTCATCTGAAAGAACTTCAAAAGGTGCTTAACAACTTGATGCCTAAACTAATTTGATATATTTGTTGTCTTTATCCTGTTACTTTGTGAAATGTTATTATGTCTGTTTTAAAAAATGCTACTGCTGCAGCCAGAGGTTCATCTTACTATTGTATTATTATAGTTTTACACTGTATTTATATGCTCTATCTCAAAATGAAAACAAGCCCCTACTTTACAGGTATTTTACTTTGAGATAAATCTACCTAGTTAACAATTTCCATTTGTTTTATTTTGAATACTGTGCCCCCTGTTTAACAATACTCTGTCCATCCAAACGACTTTTCATTTGGTTTTCTCTTTTCTGTAGAGCAGCAGTATTTGTGTATATTTGCAGGGTAAATAGTATGCAAGAGATGCTGCAAATTTGCTGATGATTAAGGGACTGGAGCACTTCTTTTATGAGGAAGGGCTGAAGCAGCTGTGCCTGTTGAGCCACCAGGAGAGGTGTCTGAGAGGAGATCACATCGATGTCTATAAGTATCTGAAGGGAGGTGCCAAGAGGATGGATCCAGGCTCTGCTTAGTGGTGCCAGGCAGTAGGACAAGAAGCAATAGGCACAAACTGATGCACAGGAGGTTCCTCCTGAACATGAGGAAGAACTTCTTTCCTGTGCAGGTGACCAAGCACTGGAACAGATCGCTCAGAGATGTTGTGGAGTCTCCCTCACTGGCAAAACTCTAGACATAATC